CCATTTTCAAATCGTACAGTTTCATCTCCTTCTGCGGAGTGACGAGTAGAATTTTGGAGTATTTAAAAAAAAGGGCAACATTTTTAAATTACAGATTGTAGATAGGTGATATTAGAGACTTACGTGCAGAAACTTCCAAATTTCAAAAACTATTAAGCTCTTTTGTTATACAGTTCGCTGTGTAAAATTTCAATGAAATGTAAAGTTGGCATTGCGCAGTCTGATTTTTGCAATACGCGATATAATTGACTTTACTAGAAATATCTGTGGTCAAAATTTCAGAAAAATATCTACAAATCAAAAAATAGTATTGCGCAGTCTGCGCATGCGCCCATCTGAATTATCACTATATGCCATATGTTTGCATTGACAAGACGTATCTGTGGATACAATTTGAACAAAATACATTAATAAATAAAAAATTTGATATTGTACAACATGAGCAAATTAAACGTCAAGATTTTTCTTGGCACAGGTACCAGGGCTGTATGGTACCAAATTCAAAAATAACGAACTAAATATTATATTGAACACGGTGCTACGGCCTCGGACTGACGAACGGCTGCAATAGCGCACCCAATTTCGTTGGAAAATGCACTAAAAACATAAAAACGTATTTTAAATAAAAATAATATTTTTTAAAGTGATATAAAATGAATGTCTTGAATTGACTACCTTGGATTTCAACAACAATAAAACATGGTTATTAGTTTTACTTATTAATCTTATCTTGTATGAAAAAATAGTTCACCGGTGCTTTCCCAGCATGTTTGGGCATTTATGTCTACTGACTGTAAATGAAACAACTACCACAGTGATTTCAATGAAATCTCTGTAATAGTTCTCAATTAATGTCAAAACAGAAGTCCTTTGAAGTTACTACAAAACGAAGTACGCGGGCCACTTGCAATTTGGTAAAGCTCACTCAACTGCAAGTATGAAATATTGACAAGAAATTCGAAGCGCAAACCGTATGCAAGTGCTTTACAAAGTACTCATCAAGAGCATTTAATTTAGCTCAAAGAGCAGGTCAAGTCTCACGTGAATTCTAGAAATTTCAACGCTTTTATGGCTTTACAAATTAATCTATGTGGGTAGTATACCTTACATGGCACTACTTTTCCCAAGAATCTCTCAAAATAATATTGCTAAGCCCGGTTCACTTCATATTTCACAGTAAATTAACTATGTAAACCCCAACTTCAGCTTAAGTTAGTAATTAAGGACCATCACTAATTAAGAGTGATGAGCCCATTGCTGTATCAGGAGTACACGTCAAGTGTTTTTCATTGTGAAATATTTGCAATAACACCTTGATTAAACGTAACGGCAATTTACTAAGAAGCAAATCTATATTTATATAAATACTGTGAGCTTAAGTACGACCGAGGGCGTATCACGAGGAACGCATATTAAACGTTTATGAGGGGATCCTTTATATATGTTATAACGTGATAATATTGTTTCTAATCGTATAACAACATTATCTAATTTCTATTGCTCACATGCGTGCAACAAAAAAAGATGAAACAGTTGGTTTCAATTTTATTACAGACAATTTGTCCGGAAGAAATGCCATTTGGGTATCTCTTGACTAAATCTTGACTAACCTGTCAAAATGAAAAGAAACGTAAAAAAAGTAGTTTACTGTTAGTACCATTTAAATGGACTGAACTCAATCAACTACCTATACTTACATTGTAAATTAATGCCGTTTTAGTGTAGGGGTATTATGAATGATAAAATCACATTTCTATTGCTATAGTAATATTTCTTTTGTTTTTCTCGATTTTAAAGAAGCTACAAATGTGCGCCTTTTAAATTGCACATTCATTTACTTCACAAATGAACGAACTTATTATTTGAAATCGTAGGGGCGTGAAATGAAAAGGTCACTTGAAGTAATATTGAGGTGCAATTTAAAAAATGGTAGGTGGCCTTTAAATATACTTTATGAAGGGGTTAGCCCGAGAAACTGCTCTTTGCCACCCTAGTACAATAGCAGTATGAATGGTTGTCATTGTCAGCTGTCTCTTTATGGTCTCTTTTTGCATTCTCGAGAAGTAATTAGTTCCGCCATAGTATTCACTTCACGCTTTTTAAATGATTTTTAAACGTGAATAAGTGCTCCCCATCATAATTTCTTTTGATTGAATGAAATAAGTTACATGTTTGCATACGCAGAATGCGAGTTACAATGTAAGCCTAATCGAAGCATAATAAATACGACTTCACAAGGAGACAACGTAAAATGACAATTTCGTCACCGCATATTCAGAAAATAATTGATGGTGTTTATTGAATTTGTGATATTGTCAAGATTACACTAAAGACATAATTTGTCATGGTGAGTGCATGCGTGAATAAATGCAGCAAGTTGATCTTTTAGAAAATGTATGTGCAACAGGATTGCTGGCGTGACAAGGGAAATGCAATTACTCAACATAATAGTGTCGCAGCAGCGCCTAAACCGCCATAAATTCTTACTTCATAATTTTCAAAGCTACCGGTGCATGTTAGCGTCCGATATAATTTACGTACTGACACACAGCCTACTGAATTTGGACTTATGCGGACATAGTTTATATTAATTAGTTCGGGAATAATTTATTACACCTTCCGAATTCGTATACGGTCTGTATACAGGCTACCACTAATCCCCTACTAAAAGTTAATTGATTTTCATGAAAATCTCCACACAAATGAACAATTTAAATAGTAATCGCGTAATGTGGAAAACGGTTTGGTATTCTAAGTGTAAAGCAGGTCCTTTGGGGTTGGACACGACAAGGACAATGTATGACAAGAGCTTAGGGACTGTACGCGCGCTGCGTGGCTTCCGGTATTATGGCGAAACCGCTGAAAGTGTGGCTGGAATATTATTTCCGGATTTATTCGGTTTCAGAGTGTATTTAGGATTACAGTGTAGCCGCCGCACTTATTGCCTTGTATTAATTACGAACATTTGTATTTAAATGCCGTACATTATTAAATACGAAGATGGGATACTAATTTATGTTTTGAGTCGTTACGCATACTAAGGATTAATCAAACCGAAGATTTACAAAATTAGAGAACCGTTAGTTAGTTAATTGCAAATTACATTAGAGATTGCGTCATATTTTCACACAATGCGTAGGTTCAAATCTACGCGAAATTCTTTTTTAGAATTTCTCCCTCATTTATACCAATCTTATAAAAGAAATGGCGCGTAAACAAATTACACAAGGGATGCAAACAACTAAAGCCGTTTCTCGTGATATAAAAGTTCTCGAGTTTTTTTTTGAATGCTTCCCTAAAACGTAACAGAACATTTATATTTATTTCAGGCCTGCAAAAATAGTTATATTTTTTACGAATGGTAATGCAGCAATATTTTGTTTAATAATACGATTTTATTACTCAGCTTTATAACCCGTAATATTCCTATCACCACAGTTGTATATGTGCGCAAACGTATAGACATCAACAGCTTGACGTGGTGCTGCTATACTATTCTCTCTGCAGCATTTGCAGTATGTGTGGGCTGCATTCTGCATTCCAATGCAAAGAAGTAAATTCCATTCGAACCCACCCTTATGAAACAATAGACACTTTGAATGCTGATCCAACGGTGCCTAATGAGATTAATGACCTCGTTAATGACACAGTGGTTGAAAGTGAACAGTTATACAGGGTCCTGCAATAATGCGTCGGTCTTTTTTAGCTCATACCTCGTAAAAAATATAAAAAAAACCTTATGTGTAAATGTTAACTATAGATGGTCGCGCAATGAATAACCTGAAAGCTTTTTTAGTTTATCAAAGTGAGGCTTGCTTTATTCGGAAAAAAATTAATAAAATGGCAACATTGATAAAAAATGTAAAAGTGAATAGCTTTCAATGTAGTCTTTAACGAATGACATCGAAGCAACTAAAATTATACCGGGTGTTCTATTTTAACGATTCAAAAATAATTTTTATAGATGCACCACCATCTACAGTTCGCATTTACACAGAAAGTTTTTTTAAATATTTTTATTTTTATTATTTATTATTTTTATTTAATTTTATTATGATCACAAAATGAAATTGAAATGAAACAAGTGATCGCATAGGGAAAATCGTCCAAAATATTATGCCTTAAATTATTTTGACAGTACTGTTAGTAGGTCGTGTATTAAAAAAATTATAACGACCCGGTTTTACATTTTTTAAATGAACCTTTACCCAACGCTATTGCTGCACATTTTCCTGCATATGCTGGTATGGAAAAATATTATTGCTGGCCTGCCTTATAGCAGAGCTGGGCAGTATTCGATTTTGTAAATACTTTTATTTGTTACTCAGTTGTAAACGTTGATTAACAAAACAAAACGCAAACGGGTAAACGTCATGTTTAAACGCTACTGACTTGTAAAAGTGACAGCTGACCTGTAAAAATTTTACAAGTTAGTAATCTAGTAATTTCATTGGTCAGAATTAATGTGAAGTCTCTGTTACATGGATAACATGATATTTTAGACATTTCTTCGAGATCAATTTAAGAACTAATTATTTACGTTTACTATTGTTTACAAATTAGTAACAAATAAAATATTGTACATTATACACCAGGTAATAGTTTTTACTGGCTCTAGGAGATGACAGGCTCACCTAACGGCTCGCCAGTCAACTTCTCCTATCGCCAGTAAAAACTTACTTACCTGGCTAATAATGTAAAATACTATTTAATAATAATAATAATAATAATAAGATCTTTATTCTTGAGACTGTGCATCACAGCCATTGAAACGTCATACAGAGTGAAAAAATAACAAACTGTGACGAAGAAAACTAGCAGGGAATAAGAAACCCAGCACTACGGCTCCAGCTGCTCTCGGTGGTAGGGGTGGTTCGACGATCCTGAAAGAATTGCCTATAAATGCTCCGAAAATTTAGGCGCCACTAATTTTTCGATAGTTCCAAGCCGTACAGGAAAAAAATTAGAAACCTGCACCTGTTGGTCTGGAAATGCAGGGGTAAAACTAAAAAAAGAAATAGAGAAAGATAGCGGGAAAGAAAAGGTATTTATTCTTCAAGGAATCAAGAATTTAACAAAGATATTGTAGCGCGAATGATGATGATTGATAATGGCACGGAATGATAACAGGGAAGAAAAACGGCAAAAAAAGAAAACGGTACGAGATCTCGTCTCACAGCAAAACAATAAAATTTGACTCAAATTACTTATTAAGATGTAGGGTGACTGAATTAATGTGATGGGTTTTTTTTTCTAAATAAACTTAACTTTTTTTTTTTTTAAGGTGAATAGATAACTTGAACTTAGCTGTTCTGGCTCCTGAAGTTGTCCAGCAGTTGTTCGGCGGACTTGGGGTGGTAGACCAGTGGCTAAGTACGGGGTAGATTAAGGATAGGGATGCGGGTAGAAAGGAACGAGGAAAAAGAAATTTGAGGGTATCGAAAGAAGATTGAAGACTGAAGACGACGACTGTAGATTGAAGACGGACGACTGAAGACTGAAGACGGACGACTGAAGACTGGAGATGGACGAAGACGAAGATTTCTTAGTAGTAGATAGGTACGTATAACAAGTATAGACAAAAATAACTAAAACTACAAGGCCCTAGAACAAAAACCTAACATTACGAGCTACAACTATCACAAAAAGGCTACTTACGAGATGGTGTGGGCCTTAACGTAGAGACAATATATAGATATGTATGTAGGCTCAATTAAATTGGTGGACGGTGAAATAAAGCTCGGGTCCTAAGAGACAACGAAGAAATAGAAAAGGATACAGACAACAAAAATACTTACACAAGGGTTGAAATCCGGCGAGCAAGGGTAACATATATAATATATTGGTTGTAGATAACTTCACAAACACAAATGCGCTTCCTCTTCCACTCTTAATCCCCAAAATAGGGTTTCCAAGGAAGAAATACCAATTCCTGGTAATGAGTGGAGACTATAGGACGAGGGTAGAAATCCCAAAATTGTCGGATGAAAGCGGCTGCAAAAATTCCGCACCTCACAAGCACACCATACAATTGACAATTGACCAAAAACGGAAACGAAACGTAGAAGAATTTGAAAAAAACGAACAGTAATACCAATAATTAAGGAACATAAAAAGCCAGCGGGAAAAGAAGAATAGATTTTTGAAAAGAGCGGGAAAGAATAGCGTAGTTTACAAGAACTGACAATAGATGACACTGAAAGCGGATCAGAGGCGTAACATGGAATAAAATAGTACACATAAGCTTCGAAAATTAGAATAGTGAAAACAGTAAGGAAAGGAAAAGCGTTTAAAGCGTGAAAAGGTAAATACAATTGTAAGAAGAGAGCAAGAACCCAAAGAAGCGAAGAAATCGAAAGAAGAAATTTAAGAAAATAGGCACGCCTATGTGATGAAAATCAAAACAAAATAAATAAATTCCTAACCTAAAAATCAAAATAACTAAAGCAAAACTTAACTAAAAATGGACCTGTAACAAAACTTTACGTGCAGGTACGAACAACATTGAGTGAACACACAATAAATAAATTAGCAAGTGGATTGCTTAAGTGAATCTAGCCGTCATGAACTCTGTGAATTCCTTGACAGAATAAAACGTGTTATCCTGTAGGAAATTTTTAATTTTATTTTTAAATGATTGTTGGTTGCAGGTGGTGAACTCTAACGGCAACAAGTTAAACAATCGTGAACCCATCATATAGGGGGATTTATTATAGAAAGAGTGGTGGTGCTTCCTTGTGGAAATTTTGTCCTTACCCCTCGTATTGTAGGTGTGGGTATCTCCCACTTTCCCAAAACTGTTTATATTTTTGTGTATGTAACAGAGCAATTTGAATATGTAAATACTGAGGAGGGGTAAGATTTGAAAAGTTTTAAATGACCCTCTGCATGATTGGAGAGAACTTAGATTAAATATTAAACGAATTATTCGTTTCTGCGCAACAAATAGTCTGTGCAAGTACGTACTGCTCCCCTAGCAGACAATGTTATAATTTATATGTGAGTAAACTGTGGCATAATAAACCTTTATTAAAAAATCTTGGTGAAACTGTTGTTTCAAACGTGATAACAAATAATATGATTTGTTGATTTTAGCAATTAGATATTCTATATGATTTGACCACGACAAACAATTATCAATTTTGATGCCTAGATACATGGTGGACGTGCTACAGGAGATCACAGAGTTCTCTACGTCAAATTCGACAGCAGCATTTTCGTGTGTTTTATTTTTGGTCATTTTCATAATCACGGTTTTCCGAGAGTTAATGGACAGTTTATTTTCCTGACACCAAGAAACAAATTCGTTTATGACACATTTTAGTTTGTGTGTGGCAGCCAGGGCCGGACTGGCCCAGGCCGCTAGGCCGCCCGAGCGGCCGGGGCCCCGCGCCAGCGGGGGCCCTCGTGGAACCGCGAAGCGGAGCCTCCGTCGCGAGGCCCCGCTAAAGTGCTAACCCAGCTAACCCGAGGCTCGGCCATGTGGAGTAGCGAGTCAACTGGGCTCGCTCGCTTGCTAAATTAATTGATAAATTTACCAATACGTCACTGCAATTACAGCGCCTTCTCCTTTAATTTAATGTTCAATACTATTCAGCAAGTTGTTTGAAATACAATTAAAAAAATCTGCAAATCCCTTGTCTTCTTTTTCGGGCGGGGGGGGGGGGGCTTTTGGTCATGGAGCGCCCGGGGCCCTTACCCACCCAGTTCGGCCCTGGTGGCAGCATCATCATCGTTAGCACTTACTACTACAGCAGTGTCGTCTGCGTAAATAAAAGTCATTCCATTTAGGATTCCTTGTGGTAGGTCATTAATATAAATCAGAAACATGATAGGCCCGACGATGCTACCCTGTGGCGTACCGAGGTCCAATTTATATTCCGTTGACAGTTTATTGTTGTACTTTACGGTAAATTTCCGATTCGATAAAAATGAAATAAGGAAATCGCGTGTTTCATTTCTGATACCTGCAGCGTCCAACTTTTCTGACATCTTATTAATGTCAATGCTGTCAAAAGCGTTTGCTATGTCGAAGTATATAACAAAGCAAGTATTGTTTGAGTCCATTTCATTGGTCATCTGTTGTACTAATTGAATTGCAGCATCCTCGGTTGACAGGCGTGGTCGAAAACCAAATTGTCTGTCGGGGAGGACGTTAAATTTATCAAAAAAGTGTATCAGTCTGTTGTAAATACATTTTTCGAAAATTTTTGACAAAGTACTCAGTAGTGATATAGCCCTGTAGTTCGAGACAATCTGATGAATTACCCTTTTTTTGAATCGGCATGACACATGCAGCTTTCAATGCACTGGGGAAGACACCTTTTGTAATACAGGCATTAACAATGCTTGATAAATACGGCGCAATAAACATGGCGCATACTTTTAATAAGTTGTTGGGGATCTCATCCAAACCCGGAGAGCAGTTGGATTTTAGCGTATGTATGATGTTATATACCTCAGTGGGGGAGCATGGACTGAAGTAGAAGGAATGTTTTTTGGTAACAAGTGGTGTATGATGGGCATTGGCGGAGAACGTAGACTGAGGGTGAACAATTTTTTCCCGTCTCGATCTGAGACAATTTTTTTTTCGGGCCTCAAAAAAAGGCAGTGTATAACCTTCCTTTTTTACCAAAAATCGACTACACCAAAATTTCTTGGGAAAACACTTTTTGTTATTAATTTTGGTGCGTAGAATCCAAAACAATTCGTACTTTTTCGATCAGACTTCTCAATCAAAAGTTATAGACTAGAAACCAATTTCGAAAGAAAATTCAAAGGGCTGTAACTTTTGAACTAGTAGCCCAATCTTGGAACTGTTTGAAATTATGGATTCTACAGGCCACATTCTATAAGAACATTTTTTTCCCGGGTCGATCTGAGCCAATTTTTTTTTCGGGCCTCAAAAAAAGGCAGTGTATAACCTTCCTTGTTTACCAAAAATCGACTACACCAAAATTTCTCGGGACAACACTTTTTCTTATTACTTTTGGTGCGTAGAATCCAAAACAATTCGTGCTTTTTCGATCAGACTTCTCAATCAAAAGTTATGGACTAGAAACCAATTTCGAAAGAAAATTCAAAGGGTTGTAACTTTTGATCTAGTAGCCCAACCTTGGAAATGTTTGAAATTATGGATTCTACAGGCCACATTCTATAAGAAAATTTATTTTATTTCATACTATCTAGTAATCGCCGCTTTCCCAGACTGATTTGAGTCTGGTAAATCGTATTTTACCAGACTGAAAATTTTTACCAGACTGGAAACGTTGCCTAGCAACATCAATTGACATCCATCTAAACCTATGTATTAATGTGTCAAACTACTGTCAGATCAAACAAATCAAGTGATCGACTTTTGCTTTCAATTGTCCTACACGTTCTAATCAAAAATTGTATGGCATTTTAATAGAAACAAGAGCAGTATGAAATAAAATGTTTTACATTATTTGTATGTTAAATCAGTTAACGTTACTCGTTTCGAAATTCCTGCCTCAGCTACGCTTCGGCAGTAAACATCTCACTCGTTAACGTAAACCTTGATTTACCATACTCATATGTAAATAACTATTTCCGGATCGATCTGAGACAATTTTTTTTCCGGCCTCAAAAAAAGGCAGTGTATAACATTCCTTTTTTTTTACCAAAAATCGATTTCTTCATTAAATGTAATACTCGTATTAATTGAGTAACGAGGTCAATTATTTTGCGGTAAACTTTGTTCGATTTATTCCATTGAAATATGCGGAAGAACAATTTCTAGGGTTACAAGCTGTCAAGGTTTCGAGAACATTCCACCAAACAGACAGTAATCGGGCGAAATTTTTTAGTCATCCGCGAGTTTTGGGGGTAGAGCCTGGAGTAGAACTAGATAGGCGACTCGCGTTCAAAGCGCGGCAAGGCGAGAGATTAGCGTTTTTGTTAGCATTGAATTTTGGAGTGGCAACCTTTGAGCCTAAATAGGTTAATTTGGCATTTGATAAGGGGTTAGAAAGAAGGAAGGTAGCTGGTAGAAAACAGTTCCTTTAGTTCCTTTCAATTAGAACACCAAGTCTACAGCCTATAAGATGTATTTCGCCCACTAGGATTCATGATTCCCCTTTTTTCCAAGGAATTGTGGCATAATTTCATAGTCCTTATGT